CTCTGGTGGAGATGCTGTCAGGGTTACGGGGTAGCTCAGACCGAACCCCCCAAAGTCAGACTCACTATAACAGGGCCCAAGACCTCAGAGCAGTTACCTTAGCCCTTCCAGTCTTGCTTCCATCGTATGTAAAAGTGCAAACGGACAATCCGTGGGTCTGCGCTGCCTGTCAATCAAGCAGAGACAGGATTGAGTCATGACGAGCGTTTATTCCAATCCTGCGGGCAGCGTGGGAGAGCAGGTCATCCACAAAGGTCTGCTCTGCTTCCCCGCACACGCCAGCTGCTTCTGTCGGGTAGAAGGACAACGATCACAGGGAAGTAGGCAAAGGGGAATGCCAAGTGGGCAGTTCACAGGTAATGGGAGCTGGAGCTTTACAAAGGCCTGTGGGTATGCAAGGGCTGGGGGCCTTCCAAGTGCTGGCAGCTCTGGTTCCTGCAACAAGGTGGTTCATCTTCCCATGATCAGAGGCAGCTCCCTTACAGGGAGGAGGGGCCGCGTTTCCAGGTGAGCGCCCAGGTCCACGTGCCCCTCCCAGCAGGTTAGCATGTGCCTCCTTTAATCAGAACGACGCAGTCACGGCTGACAGAGCAGGCTGAACACTTCTTACCTCCTGGCTGGTCCCCAGCCTTGTGTTCCTGCCCCTGTCACCAGGAGGCTACTCATGTGCAGCGAGGACTGGTGTCAGGGCTGACGTAGCTGAGGGCAGTGCTCCTGGGTGACCACAGCACATGTGCATGCTCCCCGCTTCCTCATGGTGTCTTTACCCCAATTCTGGTCCAACATTTTTCAAGTTAAAATGTTTCTCTTTGCAAAATACCCTTTTCCCTTGGGTACTTGGAACCTATGATTATTTCCCAATGGGCTTCCCTGCTGGGCTAACCACGCGTCAGATGCACAGCCCAGCACGCCCATTGGAGTTGAAGACAAAGCAGAATTAGCCCCGGGCAGCGCCTGCTGGCCCCAGCGGGAGGGAGCAGGTCTCCGTACAGTGTTGCTCTTGTGTGGAAGCTGGGGCCGCATTTTCATCTTTGCAGGTGCCTGGGAACCCCTGCGAGGTGACACCTACAGTGTCAGGCTTGCTTTTCTGAGAAAGTATTTTCTAAAAATGCATGAAGGTAAAAGTTTTAAGGACTATTATTTTACTTTATTTTCTTCTCAGCAAGACAGTTTCATTTTGTAGCCAGGAAATTAAAAAAAAAAAAAAAAAAGGAAGACAGAAATGTATGACTTTAGGAAGAAGTAGAACTCCTCTGAAGTTAATTAGGAATCCATCTTTTCCTTTTATACATATAAACTAGAGGCCCGGTGCACGAAATTCATGCACGGGTAGGGTCCCTAGGCCTGGCTGGCGATCAGGGCTGATCAGGGCCTTCCGGCTGCTGCCTGGGGCCTTCCTTCGTTCTGCGCAGCCCCCTGGTGGTCAGCACACATCATAGTGAGCAATCGAACTCCCGGTCTCCCGGTTGAACTCCTGAGGGGACACTTTTCATATTAGCCTTTTATATCCATAGATTACATTCTTAGGTGCTCATCTCATCCTCCTTGTCCACACGACCGTCCTGTTGAGTAGTGTATCTTTTAGCAAATGTGCAAAACTTCTTAGGTGCACCCTTCCCAGAACGCAGTAATATGAAATACAGCGGGGCCTTGACTTAGGATTTTAATTCGATCCGTGACGGAGCTCGTAACTCAAATTACTCGTATGTCAAATCTTAAAGTGAACGAGTGAGACACGTGATGCTGGGCTAATGTTGTGGCGTTCACTGTGACGTTCGCTGCGTCAACTAGCGGTGGGGTATCTGAAGCTGGCTCGTAACCCGAATTTTAGCTCGCAACTCAAAGCAAAAAATCGGCCGAGAGACAGCTCATATCTCGAAAAACTCATTTGTCGGGATACTCGTAAGCCAAGGCCCCGCTGTATACGTATTTCTCATCTAATTCAAAACACCAGCTTGGCCTCTGAGAGGCTAGCCGGTGCTGAGCTTCCTCATGGACCCTTTCAGTCCAAGTCGCTGATGGGGAACAGGCGTCTTTGTTGAGCAGGGATGACAAGCTTCAGGGAGGCAAATATTTCTGAAGAATGCACTTTGCCTGAGAATAGAGGTTTGCTTTATTCAAAGATCACATGCTTTTGTGAAAAACAGAAGAAAACAATTATTGCTTCTCTGGAGGGATATCAACATTAGGAGGAAAAATAAACCCACACCCTGAAAAGCAATCACCAAATATTTAAAGAGAGGAAATAGCTTAACTTAAAGTATAATTAATGGGGAAAATCAATGAGTTTGCAAAGAAATTGCTCTTCAAGAATGTTGTTTGGAGAAGTAATTCAGCTTTGAACCAAAATATGTTGCCATTATTACTTACATTGACTGGAATTTTATCTATGCTTTGCACATTTTAGCCATGAAGTCATGGTACTAATTTTTGTTTCATTTAAATTGGCTAATTCACAAATTAATACTTTAAAGATTTTATAAAATTCAGTAAGCAGTTTACATGTATATGAGTAATTTTCATATTTTTAAGCTAACATTTTTAACATATTGGGGAAGTCATCAAAAAAATAGAGTCACCACAAATCTGCCAAGAAATGGTAAATTAATTCTTGAAATTGATGTACTTATGTAACAATTCGAGTGATTTTGCATTTTATCACCTCTTGCTATGCAGTTGATAAAACTAATAAGATATAGCAATAATTATTATTTTTAAAGTGAGAAAGTGGGCAATGTTTATAGATTACTAGAGGCCCGGTGCACAAAAATTTGTGCACGGGGGCGGTCCCTCAGCCCGGCCTGTGCCCTCTCGCAGCCTGGGACCCCTCGGGGGCTGTCCGCCTGCTGGTTTAGGCCTGCTCTCTGGGGGGAGTGGG